ATATATATATATATATATACACTATAGGGAAAGTTTCAGTTTTATTAGTTATATGCATATGGAATTTTGAATCGCGATAAAGAAACGTGTTATTCGTACACGTTTGTCCAAGAGAAGAAATTTAAATCGAACGTTGAACGAACGAATTATTTCGCGGGAAACGGCGTTCAGATTTGTGCATCACGTAGAGAATGCTGCAACCCTTTACCCACAGGGTCACGTAATATTCCCATGCACGTGGTCGTATCTAAACTCCTAACCGAAATTACTCGTTATTGTACGTCTTCTTGTAAAGGAGAACGTGAGGTCGAACTCGCACCAGTTACACGATTAATTGTTGTTCGACTCTTACCGTGCAATAACTGCACGTTCCTACGATTTCGATGAACAGTCGAGAATTTTCTCTAATTTCACGATCGTTCTCGCCAGATGTTAAATGCCCAATAATTCCATTATGAGAACTAACGCGGATTTAGAGCGGATGAAAATGAAAGTCGCGCGAAATAGAGGCGAAATCGATCGATTAATTATTGCTCGAGTATTTCAATCGTGTATTCGAAATCGTTTATCCTTTTTTTTACAATAACCAAAGGGCGAAAAATCGAGAGGTGAAAAGATACGGATCAATGGAAAATCGACGCGAATCCTGGAGGAATTCGAAGTGCAAAGGGATGGATATTAACGATGGATTCGTTAAGAGAGAGTACTCGAGGCTCTGTCTCCCTGTTTAACGTTTTATCGTGGCTTTAAAATTCAGAAACGGACGCTCGGAACTCGGTCACCGTTATAAAAAATTACCGTTCATTTTTTAAAAAAGTTTCGGCTGATCGGCCAACGGGGCGCTTCGATTGAATCGCGCCGCATAAAAATACCGCGTTGTTAAATGCGGCCGTTTCTGCGACGCCCGAGCGGAGAGCGTGATACGACTTTGTTAAAATACAAGCTGGCAGAACAGAGGCTGGCGAATGAAATATTTAAAAAAAAAAAAAAAAAAAAAACTCGATGGAGTGAAATCAAATCGAAACGAAATCAATGGTGTCCAATGATGCAAACCGCAAAACCCGAGGCAAAAATAATAATTATAACGATAGCAGCGAGGCGCGTTTGAAAGCCGGAAGGAAGGACGGAAAAATATTCATTCGGCGTAAATTTGTATTTCGATGATCGGATAAATTCGAATTTACACACTCATAAATATTTCATATTAATGAGTATAATACGAAATGTATAGGACGAAATGAAAAAAAATTACG